AAGGGACTAAAGAGAGTAGCCAAAACACTCTGAAATAAATATAAATATGTTCCTAAATGTAAATATATTTCCTAAATATGAATACATAGAAAATACAGAAGTTCAAAACCAGAGGTTGCTACCAAAGCTTTTTTGTCTTCTTTTAGGAATGTACATTTACAAAGATGCGTTCAAACAGTGCTCTCCGCGTTCTCTTCAGTGGATCACTTCGGCTAAAATGCAAAAATGCCTGTTGTCAGCGCTGGTACTTCACTTTTAATGGAGCAGAATGTGCTGGGCCACTTCCTATTGAGGCCATAATATACTTAGATCAAGGAAGCCCAGAGTTGAATTCTACTATTAATATACACAGAACTTCTTCAGGTACGTATGCCAAGACCGCATGAACAGAGATGGAGTAGAAGCCAGTAGCAAATCTAGTTACCAAATGCAGAGAGTACAGTCTGCCTTGGAACATCCAAAGAGTGAACAAAGAGGCAGAAGAGTGGCCAGCTAACACTTGTTACTCTTACTCTGCTGTCTCACAGTTGACTATCAATAGTAATAGTATTAGAATTATTTATTAAGTGGTACTTTATTACTGTGGTATTTTTCATGCTACTTACATCCTGCAATTTAGAAATGGAAGAGATTTCTATCCAGACAGCTCTACTGATCTCTGCTACAACACGAATACAGAGACAATCTGTGCTGTATTAGCAGACAGAGAAACCACCTTACTGCCAAGTAGATAGTGCAGTCCTAGCTTAACATACTGATATTTGTGCATTATCTGTGCATAAAATTAGACATTCCTCCTAGAATTTCTACTATAATTTCAGGTGGGGTACAAAAGCATCTCCAAAGTGAAAAATCTAGGAAAAATTATTCAATTGCTAAGCAAAAGGCAAATTAGGGAAGTCATTCAACATAAAAAGAGGTGACACTAGGAAAAGGGGACCCGCATCAAGTCTATACTCTTTCTCCATTCTCCTCCCTGTACTATTTCACGACTGCATAAAATCTAACGTCTAGAGCTGTGATAGGTTTTTTTCATCCAGGGGTAGGACCCACCTGCCTTCATTAACCCACCTCCACTAGTGGTGCTAGTGGGTAAAAAAAAAAAAGGCAACAGAAGTGGAAGTTCATACAGAAGCAGTGAATTAGGAGTGGAAAAAATTACAGGGCGGCAATCACCTTTGTACGGCTTAGCTGTGGAAGCCAGGTCTGGCTGTGCCCCTGTCCCCCCTCCCCATCACTGCTAAAAAGGTGGCTGGATGGGATTGAAGCCATATCCCAGCTACCGGTTTGTAAATTTGGACATTTAAAGAAGCAGGTATACCTTCCATTTAGCCATCCTGTGCCTTGTGATCCGCTTCAGGTACTGCAACAGATGTCAAGAGCAGCATGGATAAAGGCAGCGCGTGACTCTGTAACCTATGTTGCCACATCTCTAAGTTTTTATTTCTAAAAATGCTGTTCAGGTTTAACTAAATAGCATGAGCTTGCAATGAACTGCTGCTCTTAAGTACTTGTGTCCACCTTCAGTTGTGAAATACAAAGTGATTGTGTCTGCCGAGGTAACCTGATTTTTGTCTTTAACCAGTGGAAGGTCTGTGTGAAGGGATCAATGCTGGCTTGGTGGATATTGCCATCTGGGTCGGGACTTGCACAGATTATCCACGGGGAGATGCTTCTACTGGATGGAATTCAGTCTCCCGAATCATCATTGAAGAACTGCCAAAATAACTTTCCCTTTTTATAATCTCTCCTTTTTTTTTAATTTTGTACAATTTTCTTCAGAATTATTTCTGTAGAGTTGGATGCAAGTATTTGACTGAAAGGTGCCAAACTCTTGCATCTGTAGTGTTTGTCTAGCCTTTTTTTGCACATTGCAGAGGCTTTTTATAATAATCATTTTAGAATATAAATATCAAAACCAAATTCATTAACTTTTTAAATTCCTTGTTTGACGTATAAAATATACCACCACCATTTTAAGAATTAACTGTAACTTTTTGTATCAAATAAATAAGACCTTTTACAAAAAAAAAAAAAAAACAACCAGGCTATTTTATTGATCATTAAACTGTTTAAGGAATTTTACATGGTGTTATGATACACAATACATTTTTTTAGAAGACTTCATAAAAAGTTCTAAGAAAGTCAACTCACGTCTTGGCTTTAGCCTTCACAAAACATACATAACATCTACTCTGGTGAACCTGACTACAGACTAGGATGCTCTGCTGTTACAGTCTTAAGACTCTCGACAAACTCCTGGTGACTTAACTGTGGCCCAGATAATGTGGTTAAGCGTTAAATACCTCGTTCTGAACAACTAAGTAAGAATAGACTATCTCACCTCTCCTTCCCTCTCTTGCTTCTTGATAGACTGGATTTCAGTATAAACATCTTATTATTGGTCTCCACTATTAGCATGCAGATACTAAATAATTTTACAGTTACAAAACTTAATTTAATTGCTTCAATAAAATAATTCTCCTGGATTTAGCCTTTCAGATATATACAATCACTCTGGTGTTAAATTAAAAGCTACATATATTAAATAGTTTGGAAGATACAGAAATAAGGCAGGTTCAAATACCTTGGCTTTCAAAAAGTGTACTGGTGCAGTGAAAGAATGATGTCTCAGCTATTTGACTGCAGCCTCCAGACTGGACAAGTGACAACACTGATCATGCCAGCACAGCATTAGCTTCAGTGTTTTAAGTATTTTCGTCCAAACAAGTGATATACTCAAATATTTTTAAAAATTGTACAGATTCTAAAGGGAAACAATAGTCATGTTCATCATCAATTTTACATTAATGAAATTAAAAAACAAACAAGAAAAAGCATGTACAACATGCAGAAATCTACACTCTTCCCAGAAATTAAAAGGAAAGAACATTAAATCTGAGATAAGGAATTTATTTCAGCTGTTTTGCATCGAATCTTAGCTTTTTTCCTGAACAGGTTATAAGATTTTCCCCAGGCATCTCTCAGATTGGCAGCTCTTGTCTGCAGCTTTTGTTCAGAATGCCAGAGGAACACACCTGCAGCTAGGAGAGCATTCAGGCTTTCCCAACTGCAAGCTTATGTGTGATATTGCTGCAAACCAGCAAATTATACAGCTGGTATTTTGTCTCTGAAGAACTGTACTGTTTTCATTGGCTTGGACGATGGGTTTTAAGGTATCTGAACACAAACGAGTTACTATGAGCTAAGCTATGGTGTGAATTTACAGAATGTCAGTTAACATACAGTAACTGGTTGTGTACATGCTTGCAGCCTGTCTTTGCATTTATCCTGGAGCACGCGTAAGCTGTTTTGGGCCTAGAGCACACTAATCCAGGGTAGTAACTGCACAACTTTTATTCTTATGATTTATTCATGTCTTCTGAACATTTTTTGGACCCTGAGTGGCAGAGTTAACTTGGTGTTCCATTAAATTAATTCTGCGTACTAGAAAACACACAAAACGAAGTAAACACCCTCCAAAGACAGAAGTAGTTAGTAGCTGTTAGGGATCTACATAGTAACTGGCATGGTAAACTTCCAGTAAATATGATCTTCAGCTAAATACACAGGGAAACTTTCATAATAAAATCCAAAGCCAGCCATAATGGCCACATGCCCTTTTCAGATGAGATTATCAACTCTATCAGTAGAGGGAATGGGATTGTGGAGGAGAAAGTGTAAATTATTAATAAATGCACTCAAAATGTGGCATGTGGCAATAGTATCAACAGAAACAAGCAAGTGTATTGCTGAATTAAGATTCAAAATATTGAGCATTTTCTGTAGTCTTCCAGATTTTAACTTAACATTGAAAACAATTCCCTAATCTATTAAATTTTCATTAAAAAAAGCCTTATTTCTGCTTTAGGTTAGTCTTCAGTTAAACAGGAAACTTCTCTAAGTGATTACTCATGTGTTTTGCTGGACAGTGTTCTCTGCTCCTCACGAAACTGATTATTTCCCCCTACCGGCTGAATAATCTTTGCTAATTTATTTCCTCCTTAGCTAAGTGATACTTTCTAGATATTTCTTAATACCTTCTTACTAACAGCAGAAGGCAGATGTTATGGCCACTAATGTATTTTTTTAAAGAACTACAAAAAATAAAACAAACCCGTATCTCCAAAAAGTACATATCCTTGACAGTAATTATTGGCATGCAAATAAACATCATTATTATACAAATTTACTGAGATGTACTGTAATTTAGTTTATCACTAAGTTAGCAATCAGTATATTCTTACAGTCCTTTCCTTAGACCAAATCAGAACACATTAATGGATCGTTTTGGTTTTTTTTGAAGTCCTGTGCACAGTATTTTTTAGACTACTTATGGATTTTTTTTTTTTCCCAGAGAATATTATTGAAAATAAGCATGTCATATTTGTTATTACAGTGGTTTGAAAACTGCATCACTATGGGATTACTAGCAAAAAACCCCCTCATTTTTAAAATGGAAGCCTACTTTCAAATATGCATTTGCTTAGTAATATTTGGTCAAATGTATCAGTAATGAAGACAGAATCTTGCTCAGAGAGAGAGAGAGACTGAGAGGGAGGGCAGGCGGGGAGAGAGAAAATGAATTAAGTAAGTGGCCAGCGATGCACACAACATACACTTTGGTCTGGTGCTAAAAGCAAGCCAAAAACCACAATGCAAGTCTGTCCTGGTATGAGACAAGAACTTCCATCAGACTGGCAATTATTCAAACCCAAGAATGGACAGCTGTTTTACAAAACAATTTGAGTTTCCAAACTGCACCCTACTGAGGCAACATTTTTGTGTTGGATGAGCAATGGAATTTGGAGCATTCCATATCCTAAAATCTGACAAATAACACAGAGGTGGTTTCAGAAGACATTGCTGTAAACAACTACATACATACTTTCTTCGTAAGACTCAGATAAAGATTTAAGAAAGTTTTGACAGACACCAGAGTTGCTTTTATATGAAGTTTTCCACTTCTGTAGGAGTAGAATCTGACCAACTGTTATCTTGAGACTTATCAAAACAGATTAGTCCATTTTTCCAGGCAGGCCAGGATGAACTGAATTGCTGCACAGCTGCCTTCACCCAGGCACAATGCTATTATTTCACAGTTGCAGAAACATGCGTTTCAAGCAGACACAGCTGATTCAGAGAGGAAGGCAGCAAGGCAGGAACATTCAGCAGAAGAGGTGTTGGCAGCATTTTACTATCTCCAGGTTCTTTCCTCAAAACACTAAATCAATTCACAGTGTCAAAAAAGATTGCTGAACTAAATCTCTCTCAGATGATAAATATAAAATATAGATTCCTTATGAACACAAGCTCATACCTTTAATTATTTTCTTGTCTAAAACCAAGTAAAAAACCAGACACATTTTCATAAACGACGAAGGTAATAGAGCAGGCAGGAGTCACTCTGATCACGTTGGGGATAATTCCTTTGTAGAATCCATGAACTCCTTCTTTCCTTTAAAGACACAGAAAAACATGTAGTTTTAATTAACGTCTTTTAATAGAAATCAGACATAAACCACAGTCTAGTATTTTTCTTCTCGTGCTCTTGCTGAGAGAGGTACTTCAGGTTAGGAATAGCAAGTTCAGAATAATTTCTTACTACAGTGTTTAGAGCCATAATATATCAAATCTTAACCCATCGTTTTCTCTTAACATACAATAGCATGCTGTAGGTCAGTTATCTAGCCTAGGGTTTGGGTGGGGTTTTGTGGGGGTTTTTTTGTATTGTCTAAGTAGGAGGCTATTTATTGTCTTTGTTCAGGCCACAAGAACTGGTTAAAATAACTTAGAATTTCTGCACCCTGTTCCAAAAAGCATTTACATATTTAATGTCACTGAAGCCAGCAGGGCTGAAAGGCTTGGTAGTTTTGGGTCATGTAACAGCAAGTGAGCTGAGGAACACAACTAAGGAAAGTCAGCATTTATTTTCAGAGAATTAAAGCACGTCCTCCAGAATTTTGATTCTATTGGTCAATAAATGAGAATTTCTCCCAGTTTGAATCAGAGTATTCATGTTAGGGCTGTTAAAAAGTTTCAAAGACTTTTAACCTCAGCTCCCTCTTTTCCAGCTTCAGAGAGGCCTAGGACACCCGGAGTGGAGAGTACAGTTAACACAGACCCTGGAAAGTGCTTGGGTGTGGTTTACACTACCCTCCCTAGGGCTCTAAGTTGCATTTGTTTCATAATGAGTACAATAGTGTCCCCAGAATGGCTGTATACATTCACACTTTATCAGAACTAATAAGCCTTCTTATCGACTGCGGCACTGAAGGGTACAGCGCTGAGACATCATTTTTGCTCTGAATTGCCTTCAGTCACAATGGTTGTACTGCCTCTGAGCCAGTGGTAGTCCTGGAACAACACAGCCCCATTCACTCATTCAGATGGCACCTCTTAATACCCCAGAAGTTAGCTGACTCCATTCACATCTCTAGCAATACGCTGCAACCCAGAAACATTGTCCAAAGCAAGATTAATATTGGTTGCATACTGCAAAGGTGGCCAACCTTAGTAACTGTGGAGTTTTGTGTGAAAACTCTCACATGTCCTGTGGAGCTGTGGGACAAGGGTTCGTGAGAAGATGTACATAGGTGTCAAGTAAGAGTTCTCTAAAGGTCCTAAGGGAAGCTGGGACTAGACTACAAATGCAGTCTGGCCTCAGGGTAACCCAGGGACATCGGTATAAACAGCTCTGGCTAGCTTACTTCTTCCTGCCAGGAATTTGGATTAGCCACAACTCCCAGCAGCACAACATTCCTGTTATATGTGACAATCTAAAGCAGTTCAAGTGAGACTTCATTGTTTAAGAGCCCCAAAACAGCCGACTCGATGTTATTTTTTAACCTGTAAGCAAAATTTGCTGGGAAAGAGAGAAGGGAGACAGAATAAACAACAGAAGCCTGCAGGCTAGCATTGACCCTCTCCTACCTCCTTCTTTGTCCTTAGATTATTGGTATTAGTGGCATCTTGCACAAAATGACTTTGTACAGCCAACATTTTGTTTGCTCTGAGCTGTACTGGTTCTGCAAGTCAGCATGGAAGCCAGTAAACATAGTTATGATTCTGTAAGACTCACTTTCCAAGCCATAAGCTTTTAATTTTGCATGCCTACCTCCATGTCCTGCGGATCACATCAAACACACCAGAATATGTATTATGCTGATCTTGAAGACGAGCGCGCACAACTTGATAGGGATATGTTGCTGACACAGCGAATATTTTGGATACAGCTGCCATTGTTATGTATTCCACAGTGTTCTAAAAGCAACAAAAAATGCCAGGCTTGCCTTAAGTGTGGTTTAAATTAGCCAGTTTCCCAAAATCTTACTTGATTTTTTAAATGTTGAACTAAACAATATTCTAGATTTTTCCCCTTATAATACATACATTTTAAAAAATGGCAACGTTCACTATATACAGTACTACAAGTAATTAATTGTAAAACATGTGTTGTGCCCTCTTATTCCTACCAAGTGAAACACTTCTTCCAAAAGTAACTACCTTCGCTCAACTTACACCTGACCAGTTTTCCATGTAAGTGTTTAAGACTCAACCTACGGTTCCACAGAGTAAGACAAAAAAACATTCCTCCCTCTAAAATTCTCAAAACACTTGCCAAAATAAGAAGTCGGTTTCCCTA